AGTGGTTGTTGGGCTGCACAGGGTTGGAGGGGGAGAGGCGCTGCTGGAATAGAGCTCGTCATCACGGAGCAGCCGATGGTGGCGATTGTGGCGATCTGGGCACACACCCCTCGAACTCAAGGTTTGGCATATCTACTATCTACTGCTTTCCCCCCCAACGCTACCCACACAACAGCAGTGCCATCAATGTATGTGCAGTTTGGTTTAGGCGCCCGTTCAACGTATAGGTAGGATTGTACCGTTGTGAGGTCCTGTTTTAACCCTCCGATTATAGTACTGGAAGGCCACAAATGGGGACACTTTGGGGAAACTTCGGGACACAGCACTCAAAGGCCAATTTCCGCACTGTAGTCACCATAGGCTCCGCTGTGTGCAACGCACATGAGAACCCTTGGTCTATCATGCTTGGCTGAGGTGGTACGCTGTGTGACATGCTGTGTGGTGCCTCTCCTGGGCCTCTGACTTGCTGTACACATCTCCCAACCCGCGTGCCCCCTGGGTCGTAAAACTGTTAGGGGTGCTAACCCCTCAAAAAACGTATGGGAAACTTTTTCAAAATGTGTCCCGGATCTTCCCACATGGAAAAATGATCGAGCCAACCAAATCTCGAGAAGCGGTCCTTGGGCACCGCGGAAACTACATCATCGCAGCTGGCCGGAGGAGAGAGGAGCGCACACAACATACACCTACAATCGATAGATACAAACGGTGGTGAACGAATCCCATGGGCACACGTGACGAGCGCCACGCCAGGAAAGCAGCCAGTTTGCGTGGTCCTTGGAGGTTGAGAATTGTGTTGTTGCTGCTCTTGCTGCGATGGGTGTCAGATGTGACGAAAAATATCCGTTGCATCCATCCAACTGAACGCGTTGTCTCCCATCACAAATATATGCTGCTGCTGGGAACAGAAGAGACAAAGCTTGCCACTGCTTGCCACCACCGGCCCCCGACAAAGAAGGCCAGGGCCTACTGGTACGTGACCCTGTGGTTGGACGTCTGCACTCGTAGCTCAAGCAAGCGAGATCGACACAAACAGCGATTGTTTCTCTTTGTCGGCTTTTTGGCCTTTTTCTGCTTTTTTAAAATAATCATCTTTGCTCCACCACCTCCTGTTTTGCTCAACACACTCTGGACGCTAGATAGACCACGACTTCGAAAGGGCTTGTGCTTCGTGTGCGCGAAAGGGTTGCTAGCTATGTCCCTCTCCCCAGTATCCCAGCAGCAGCATCGGCGACGATCGCTGAAAAAAGGAACAACCAGCCAGCTCAGTTTAAGAAAGCGGAACTTTTTCAGCAAGCAGGCACTCGCTTCTCGCTTCCCTTTTTTGAGACACATCACACACACCAATCTCCCGTTCAGCAGTCGCGCGAATCGCTGGGGAGCAGCAAATGCACGCCCAGCAGTCACCGCGTGGGGTGGTCGCGGCAGAGGAACCTCTAACCCCCGCATGCCGAGTGCTGTTGTGTTGCCCTTGTCTACAACATTCCGTTTTTTTTTCGCTCGCTCTTGCCCGTCAGGAGGAACTTTAGCCAGATATCGGGCGAAAAGTGGCCATTTTTGACGCACCAGTGCTCCATAACGGCGTGCGCGATTGACCTACTTCTTTCTGTGTTGGCGCCTCTGTATCCCAAGGTAGTGCCATGCAAACTCGCTTTTTAAAACTCGCATCGCCTCCGATGTCAGCAGGACAAACGTGTCGGAAAGTGCCAAAATCGCAAGCTTTTCGCAGTTATGTCGCCCTGTTTAAACGTAAGTCAAATAAAGAGTTTGCAGTACACTTGACAACGCCTGTGGCCAGGTGTATGCCAGATATCGAGATCCGCGGCATCCCTGGGAGCAAGGACATCTCGTCCAAAAATGAACATCAAAAGCGGTCTATTATCAAGTAGTAGGGAAACGGCGTCGTCGGATGGACAAAGTTATTTTTTTTTTTTCCGGGCGAAAATTTTCGAACAGACCGGACACATTTTCACGCGCATACAAGGCCGATTAGCACCCCTAACTGCACATCGCCTTGTACTGAACTTTGTTCGCCTCTCGCCTTTGATGCACTACTGTATGCATAGGTTGACCTGAAGGATGGCGCACTACATATGTATGTAGAGTACCTCTATAGAGCATGATAAAGTGTCGTTTCAACGTGCTGCTCTCTCGTGATTCCATTTTTTTTTCGGCATGCACGTTCAAGCTTTTTGGTTGTTCTTTCGGCTCCCGCACAAGGAGAATGTACCGAGCGCGAACCGAGAGTCTCGCACCGTGCGGTGCGCTCTGTCGGCAGCTGCTGGCGTTTGAAAGTCGTGAAAAATCAGGGATTTGAGGTTCCGAGTGGTTCCGGACGGTCTTGAGTGGTTCCGGAAGGTTCAGTTTTCATTTTGGGTTTTCGTCCACGTGACGACGAACGATCGTGACGTCACGACCAGCTGGGGCCGCCCCACCCCCGCCATGCCGCCGCAGCCACCTCGCCTGCAATACCCAGCAGCAGTGTGTACCTCCGACATGCCATCCATTCTTGACAACTCCCCGGTCGGCAAGATGGGTCGCTACCAGCAGGCGGACGCCTTTGCCTCCTCTCCCGGAGCGCACAGACAGGCATCACAGCAGTATATAGCACAGCAACCGTATGCAAGGTTCAATAAACAATGTCGGCGACCTGACTGATATCGATTGCATCGGCGACTATTCAAGACGGGCGAGCTGCTCCAGAAGCGGGGGGAGTCGGACGACACGTGGTTCGAGTGCAACCTACCCGGTTGCATTGCCTCGGCCAGCCTGCTCTACATCCCCGACGCAGTACAGCAAGAGCGAGCGGCTGTGCCTGTTCCGCTTTCAGCCCGTCTACGAGATGCCGTGCGTGGGCAAGTGTGTAACACCAAGACACCAAAAGTGGGTGGACCTGTTGAGTAACCGTGTGTCTATGCATAGAACAAAAGTGTGTGTCTGTGGCTAGTTTGTGGCGGCTTATCGGTGCGGTTAGCACGTGTGACAATTGTGTGGTTTGTACTTTTTTTTGCTGTCGTACTGCTGTACATAGGTATCATCACGTGTGTCAAAGTGTGTTGCCCTAAACGTGGGCTCATGAGATGTCACACCCCCTGGACTGATTTTCGAAGCTCGATGTTTCGGCAGGAAAAGCAGTGACGGTGCCGAAAATGGCGTCGTTGGAACCGCCTCGTCGAATTGCGAAAGCGTTTTCTTCCATTTCGGCATCCTCTTCGTCGTGGGGTATTAGAAGAGCGAACATCGACCCAGATGGTGTGATCACTCATGACTCCTCTGTATTGTCTATGTAATGCATCACTAAACATGTGCTGTCCTACGACAACACCTACAATGGTTGCTACTGCTGTAACAAAATGCCCCAACTGTCTGAGTCTGCACGTCTGCACACTCATGGGTTCTGCTGCCGTGTGTCTGTTTATAAACAAATTGCAGGCGAACTGCGTAGCCATTGCACCCGGCACCAAGAACAACGACCTCAACAAGGGGTGCGCGGAAAAGATCAAGGAAGAACATTCTCGTCGAGGCGTGGACGACCCAAACGGAGAGCCCAAGGGACTTGGCCTCTGGAGCGGCAAACGAGAGTGGCAGAAAAGGAACGAATTTGAAGTGAGATGTACACTTTTGTCCAAGAAAAATACGTGTTCTCTCTCCAGCCTCCATACAGGGAAAACGAGGCGTTCCACTACTACCGCAGCAGCAGTGTGTAGAGTTGTAATGTAGACTACTACTGCTGCTGCCGCTGCAAGCTGCTCTGCTGCTGTAGTAGTACAGTAGTAAGAGTAGTAGGGTAGGCGCAAAAGCAGCCAGCCAACGTATCTATCCAGTTTCCTCTGCGTACTGCATACCGTATATGACAGAAGATAACACACCCCCTGGACCAATTTTCAAAGCTCGAATGCGCCACGACGAAGATGATGTATAAATGAAACAATACATTTTCGGAAAGCTCTCGATGAGACAGCTTCAATGCCACCGTTTTCGGCGCTGTGACTCTTTCTGTTGTTGAGAAATCGGGATTTGAACATCGGCCCAGGGGGCGTGTTATCCTGTGTCATTTACGGTATTTGCTAACCATATGCATAGTCATCAAATCTCAAGAGCAAAACCTCACAACAATAGGTTCAAACCTGCGGACAACTCTATGTTGCAATAAGCCGCGCACAAACACCTTCTTCTGTCATGTGCGTCGTTTCTCCAAATCATATCATGGATGGCATCCCTCATCTAGCCAACGTTGTCTTTCCGCCTTTTGTTGAAGGCGCCACAGAGGCTTAATCCAAACTTCTACAGACATCCCCAACAACACGCGCAACAACAACAACAACAACAACAGCAACATAACAGTACCTCAAGTAGCACCACCAACAACAACAACACCAAAAACACAACAGCAGCAGCAACAGCAACTATCATTGAACTCTCATCTACGAAATAGGTGAAATCATTTCAAAATGTCTCACCCACATGCCCCCGCCAGATTCATGGAAATGTCCGCCTGCGAAGTCAT